TGAACCACAAAATCAGACTAGTCCGAGAGAATGGTTTTACATCAGGTTGTAGACTAACACTGGGAGAGCTTCTCAAGACGAAATCGGAGGAAGGAGTAAGGGTGCTACTACTTGTCTGGGATGATCCTACTTCATGGCAATTCTCTGGTTTTAAATTTGTATGTCAGAAATTCTCCATGATGCTGCGTATTTTCTTTTCTACTTATTATTATTTTTTTCTTTGTTAAGTCATAAAAGTTAGGGGGTAAACGGATCGAATTCGAATAGGATCAGACAATAGAATAAGATTAGAAAATCCGATATTTAACAGATATTGAAAATTAATATTCAATTGGATTTGATTTGAATTGGATTAATTAATTATTTTAGATACTTAATAAATATAAAAATAAATATTTTATTGATATAAAATATATAAATATATAAATTATATAAAATATTTTATATATTGTATATATTGTATATAACATGCTACATTGATGTCTGACTCAGTTTTTAAAACCATGGTCTGAATATGTTTGCTGATAAAGATTTTATAATTTGCAGAAAGGAAAGATGGACACCTATGATGAAGAGATTCATCATTTTTTCAAGCATTCATCAGTAAATGTGTTGCTTGGTAAACGAATTGCTGCCGGTAGACAACACGGCATGTTGAAAAAACAGGTTTGAAGAGAAAAATATAAATCTAATCTATAATGTATAATCTCACTGTTACAAACATCTAATTCCAAATTCTCTTATTTCTGTATGTATGATAGAATGGCTAGCTCTTGCTTTAATTTTGTAGAGAAAACAATTGTACTTAACTCTGGCCTTAGTCCAGTCCGTCTTCTGATTAAACTCCAGCCAGAAATATTAGCTATAATTGTAGTTTAGGGTCCTCGTAGAAGAGATCAACTCTCATCTAGCTAATTTATATTTTATTCAATGATTAAAACCAGCAGTAGAAATGGAATCACTTTTCTATCTGGTAGCAGATCAATGGTCTTATCATCTGGGCTAAATGGATCAATCAATAATATCATAAATTAGACATAAAACAAAAACAGATAAAAATAAATAAAATCTAAAAATTAAAGAAATATTACAGAAAAATTAGTCATATCTCTGATATTACAGATTTATCATAACAAATAAAAATAAGTGTTAAAATGAGAATTATTAGCTAAAAATACAAACGAAAAGAAAATGAATGCCTGACTTGTAACACATTGATAGGGTCATACAGTTAAATGATTCAATCGATTGAATATTTGCCTTAAAAATGAATCTATATCTGCTGAGCACAATATATTACTGGTCATATTTATCCAGTCACATATTAAAAATATCGATGATATAAAGTATAAGAGATGTTCTCAATCGATGTGCGGCCATGTTTACCCAGCCACACAACACATTATTCTTCAATGTGCAAAACATTGAATGATGGGTTCTGATCACTCTAGTCTAGCACAGCTGACAAGTTATATGCTTTTTCCCCATAACTCCCGTGTCCCCCATACCTAATAAGCTTAGATGTGGATTTGACCCTATATATGGATCAAATTAAGATGAGTCCAAATAAATTATATATATATATAGCACAAATATACATGCATATAGATAATATATATGCATGCAATTGGATCGGTTTGGACCAATTGGAAACGTCATAATTAAGTTCCTACTTCAATTTCTCTTAAGAAAGACGGGTCCTGACTAGTACATTTTAGATAAAAATTTTTGCTGATTTTTGGTAATTTTAGATTACAATATGCATGCATACATACATACATATCTAGAAATTATTTCGACTTGTTACAATTGGAATATTTTCAACTTTCTCAATTTTAGGAGGCTGCTTTAATCTATACGCATCACCAGAAGATTGTAGTTGTGGATTCAGATGCTGGCAACAATATGAGAAAAATAACTGCTTTTATTGGAGGACTGGATTTATGCCAAGGCCGATATGACTCGCCAATCCATCCTTTATTTGCCACGCAACAAACAGTGCATAAAGATGACTTTTACAACCCCAATTTCAAGGTAATTTTTAACCTTTGTACTTCTAAGGGCTCATTTGGTTTGTGGAAATAAGGGTCTGGAATTGGCCCATTCTGATTCTAACTGTTTGGGAATCCTATTTCCGTTCCTCGTGTAATGACATTCCTCTATTTGAGGGAAGGCCATTCCCTCCCCATTCTTGGGAATGAGATTTCAATCCATCTGATTCCCATTTGAACTAAACAGTTTATGGGATAGACTATTAAAATTCCAATTTTGATTCTGAGGAATTTTGATTCCAATTCTGAATATGAATCAAACAGAACCAAAATTCTTTTAAGAATAGGATTAACATAGTAAAAAAATGGAAGAAGATATTGTTCATATAACCAAGAATTTAGATCAATTATATGCCTTTTATAATTGAAGGATGCAAATCTCAACCTCTAGGCAACCCTCTTGACAAACGGCCTGATTTTAATAGAAGCAGTTGAGAAGTGGGAGTCATGGGCCTCCCTATCTGTCTGCAATTGTTCATTGGTCGTTCACTAGAGGGTGCTGGGATTAAGAGTGTCAACCGGACTGGATTTGGGCCAATCCGATCCAGTCCAATGTAAGTTCATTATAAATTGACCAGGTCCAATCCAATCCAATAAATATTTTGGACCATTTTGGATCAGTCCAATTCAATGTCTGGACTGCCTAATCTATTCAAATTCGTTTTGATTTAGATTGGTTTCAACTCAAACCTGGTCCATTGACACCTATGTTCCTATTTTAGATCAATGGACCAGATATTGGCTTAGTCCAACCCAACTCAATATAAATTTATTACAGACAGACCAGGTCCAATCCAATATATCTTGTTGGTCAATCCAATCCATCCAAATTGATTTTGAACTGGATGGGGTCCTATCCAAAATCCGGTCCATTGACACCCTTAGCTGGGATCATCTATCCTTCACACAGATATAGAGGTAGGTACACAAAGAATTAAGAGTTGAGGTAGTGAGAAAAATGATCTGTTAGCAGTTGAGTTAGAAAATTAATATAAACTTAGCGAAATACATTATATGGTCAATTAATTAATTAACAAAGGAAGATTAGGATATAGAAGATACAAGCTAGGCATGCATTGTCATTAAAATTCCATGGTGAAATCGAAAGAATAACAACACCATTGAAGAAACTCAAGTCTTATCTGTCCTTTTATGTTCTTTGCTAATGATAACCAAGTCAGAAAGATTAAACAATAACGTGCATTGGTAATGACTTAATTATTGGTTATATGTTCCCTAACCCTAAGTAGGCTCCTCCTGTTCACTGTCCACGACAACCCTGGCATGATCTACATTGTAAGGTTGATGGTCCAGCAGCATATGATGTTCTCATTAACTTTGAAGAGCGTTGGAAAAAAGCTTCAGAACTGCATGGAATTGACAAATTAATAAAACTTGGTTCCAAGTATCACTACACTGAAAGTTTGCTTAAGATAGACAATATACCTGAGATACTTGGGATGCTTAATGCTCCTTGGTTGAGTGAGAATGATCCAGAGGCTTGGCATGTGCAGGTAATTACGAAATTTCACTTAAATTAACGACGACATTAGTTGTTTGCATTGCTTGTTTGATTCTTTCATATATAATTATGATGGAAATAATACCTATATATTTATATATTGATAATTTAATTTGTTCTTCTCTTATAAACAATTGTAGGTTCTTCGCTCAATTGATTCAAATTCTGTAAAAGATTTTCCTACTGATCCAACGGAAGTCGCAAAAAAGGTGAGAGAACATTAACGATCGATTTGTTTATCCCTTTCAACCCAAATTTTTAACTTCCTTTGTTTTGTTTGGTAATTCAGTAATTAACCACCAGTTCTTTTGTACTATGACAGAACCTAGTCTATGGGAAAGATGTAGTGATTGACATGAGCATACATTCTGCATATGTAAAAGCTATCAGAGCCGCCCAACACTTCATTTATATTGAGAACCAGTACTTTCTTGGATCATCATATAATTGGTCTTCAAAGCAAAACACAGGTGCACACAATAAGCTTTAGATGAAGAACTGAAACTAGATATTGAACTCCTATAAGCTAAGGAAGGGAAATTAAGTCAATTAAGGAAGAGGTTTCCCTTCCTTTTCCTTTTCTTTCAAACCAAACACAACCTTAGAGAACATTTAAAAAATGGAAGTTGTGGAGCTGAAAACTTCCTGATCAATTAATATTTTGGTTATTTACTTGAAGCGAAAAAAAAGAAGGTTATTTACATTTCCCTTGTGTCTTAGTTATAGGCAAATGTGTTATGTGGGTGCAGGAGCAAACAATTTGATACCAATGGAAATTGCACTGAAAATTGTGAACAAGATAAAAAAGAATGAGAGGTTTTCTGTGTATATAATTATTCCCATGTGGCCAGAAGGTATTCCGACAGGAAAAACTGTGCAAGCAATTCTCTATTGGCAGGTGCAATCCAAACCCAAATTAACTTCATATTGAATGTTTGAGACAGTACTGATACGCAATATGAAATTCTACAGCACAAAACAATGAAAATGATGTACAAGATGGTTTACAAGGCTTTGGAAGAATCTGGACTTGAGAAGATGTATGTGCCCGAAGACTATTTGAACTTCTTTTGCCTCGGAAATCGGGAAGAAATAGACCAGAATGGCTCTGCTTCATGCCATGGAAAACCTGCTAAGTGGGAGGAAGACACCCCTCAAGTAGTTCTTTTTCTTCTCCTTGAGTTTCAAATTTCTCGAAACTGATACTGGTTGATCCATTGCAAGTGAATTACAAGATATGCTGTTATTTTCTTCCTCTCAAAACTGAAATTAATGCACTAACTAATTCTGATGTTAACACAGAAACGTACTGGGAAGAGTACTGGACGCTTTATGATCTATGTTCATTCTAAAGGGATGATAGTGGATGATGAATATGTGATATTGGGCTCTGCAAATATCAACCAGCGATCCATGGCTGGCAACAGAGATACTGAGATCGCTATTGGTGCCTACCAGCCTCAGCATACATGGACAAGAAAGCCATCTGGTCCACGAGGGCAGGTGTGGTTCTGTTCTGTGTGTGCTAATTAATTAAGAAGCACTACTACTGAAGTACTGATCATGTTATCTTACCAGAGAGAATTAGTTAAAGAAGTGATCAATGAATAACTAATTAGTTTGGTGTCTGGGTGTTGTCTGTGTAGGTTCATGGTTACAGGATGTCACTCTGGGCAGAGCACATGGGAACTCTTGAGGAGTGTTTTGGACACCCAGAGAGCCTTGAATGTACAAAGAGGGTCAGGGCACTGGGGGAACAAAATTGGAAACAATATGCTGCAGCATCTGATGAGGTTGGGGATATGAAGGGACACCTTCTCAAGTACCCCATCAAAGTAGATATGGAGGGAAATGTGAAGCGTCTTGATGGTTACACTGCTTTTCCTGATGTGGGAGGGGAAATAAAGGGAACATTTGAGAAGATCCTGGAAAACATTACCACATAGGCTGTGTTTGGTTTCTAGGAAAACATTGCAGGGAAACGTTTACAAACCTTGTATCTTCCTTTCCCTACCTTTGTCTATGAGGCTGAGCAATTTTGAAGATGGTTCATTTTTGTGGGCTGTAATAATGGAAGATATTTTATAACCAACTTTGTTTAGTAATGTGCAGTTTTTTCACTGAGATTGTATTGCCATATCCTCTTCCTCGACATTTTATGAATTTCTTCCCAAAATTCTGAGTGAAGACAATTTGTTGTGAGTTGTGACGAGAAGTGCCCCAATAATTCTTCAGGAGACATTTAGAGCTAACGGACGTCCATTTAGCTTTGCATGAATTCAAAGGGGGATGCGTGTGAATTGGGATCTGCTCCTCACACAGGGCTTCTTCTTCAAGCGGAGAAAGCCATGTCAAGGCACAGGAAAACAACCCTCAAGTTCGTAGATCCTTCCCTATCTAGCCGGCGGTCATACGACGGCTGCCTGCAAGTCATTGACCAACGACTTGACTGAGAAGTCAACTGGTACAATTCAGGGCTGTTTTGCCAAACAGTCATGCATTTCTTATCTCTCGTTTCCATTTATTTTGGGGTCACTCCGTCACTCTGTTGCCCTTCTGAGCAAGTAGTTAAGTCGATAACATAGTTCTCCGTCAGAGCGAGGAAATCCGAGTTCCCTCTGCTCTTTCGTCGCCTTCCCCCTTCTGTTTTCCTTCTTTGTTGGGTTATGCCATTATCGAGGTCACCGAAAACTTGACTAAGATGTCTTTGTCGTCCGAGTCTCCAAGTAATCTCTCAGACTCAAGCTTTGCTTCCTCTTTCCTCG